TAGCAGTTCGGTCTTCATGAGCCCTATGTAGGAGCAATATACGTCACAACCTTATACTACATAAATAAGGCGCACCTTAAAAATCCGTAAACAAGTGTGTTTTAAAGTTGAAAACCTTTCAATGGATTATCTCGACCTTAAAAAGGGGACTTTGAAGTTTTGAAGTCCTAAAATGAGTACATCTTATACCAAATTTTTTTGCAGTTTTTGAAATTTAAATTTTTATAATTAGGATTGACTATAATTTTCAAGTTACTGTAAAGTTCGTGACACCATAATTACATGTTTTGCAAAATTTAGAGGTGTCCCTTACTTATATAATATAAAGTGGGCACTTATACAAACCGCGTTCCTACGGTTAACATGCCCAACAAATAAAAAAGAAGAAATACAAATGGTGTAAGTGGCTGAGTTACTAGTGTTAGTACAAACTATAAACAATGGAGGGAGATGGGTGGTAAACTGATGAGATCAAGAAAGGAAAATTTGCGCAATGAAAGAGATCTCCCACGACACTGACTTGTAGAAAGTGACGAGGCTTTCATTGTTTTTATTTTTTATTTTATTTTATTTTCTCTTTTTAATAAATCGTTAAGTGATAAAAACTCTTGCCTAGGTTCATAGAAGTATGTTAAAATATAATTGATTTATGAGCAAATTACGTACACACATTTTTGGAAGAGGTCAATTACCAAATGGGCAGTCATTTGCTTGAAATTATAAGTACCTCCTGTGCAGTATTTTTTTTTCTAAGTTTCGTTTTTTTCCAGCAATTCAAATACTAAACAGGAGGATAGCTAATTTTAAAAGTAAAAGAGCAATCCGACATTTCAAATACCAGACGGAGATTTAGTTGTTTGTTATCCAGTGTTCTTCCATACATCTCTCTTTTCGAAGTGTAAATCCAGTGGGGAAAATCAAATCGAAGTCTCTCTATAATAAAAGTTTGACTCTCTAACCAAAATAAATCTCTCTCTATATATATATAACCAAATTACCCCCCTTTTCTCTCTCCTGCATCTTCACCTATGAAGAAGATGCCATTGAAGTCGATGTTGGCCTGAAGCAACAGCTTCTCTTCCAAGCCATCTCAACGCCTCACAGCAGTCATCAGTCATTGCCAGTCATTGCCCTGAGTCGGTGCTCTAGTGCTTGTCTTATACGCATCGACAAGACCGCTGCCCCGGCCCAGAGCCGAGAATAGAACTGCATGTACATGTACTAGTCGGGCTGGCTTACGTAGAAGCCGCCTCCATGGAAGTGGAGAGAAAGATAGAGAGTGAGACTTGCCCGTGTTTAGAACACCGGACAATAAACAACTAAATCCCTATATGGTATTTGAAATGTCGAACAACTCTGGACTTTTAAAATTAGCCCTACCTCTGTCCGTTGTTGGACAAGAGAGCAACTTAGTAAAAAAACACCGTTTAAGGGGAGGGTGGTGCTCGTAATTTCAAGAAAATGAATGCCCATTTGGTAATCGACCCCCTCAAAAAGTGTTCTTATGTAATTTGCTCTTGATTTATTTCAACTTAAAAAAGTGTGAGAATCAAACTATGAACTAATATTATCAAATTCGCTTCGCTTCGGCCAAAAACACCGAACCCTTCGGATTTTAAGTATAAACTAAGGCAAAGAGATGTGTGGTGCTGCCGCTTCGGTCAGATTCGGACCGCTTTGGACTGCTTCATTCCACTTCGGCAGAAGATTCGAGCTGCTTCGGTCAGATTCGAGCCGCTTTGGATTGCTTCGTTTTGCTTCGGCAGAAGATTCGGGCTGTTTCGATCAAACAA